TCAAAGTCGACAAAAGAGCTATGCAGATCAAAGGAGAATACCCTTAGAATTTCAAGTGGGTGATTATGTATTCTTGAAGGTATCCCCTAGGAAAGGAATATCTAGATTTGGGAAAAATGGTAAATTGGCTCCCAGATACATTGGACCATTTAAGGTAACACAACGCATTGGAAATATAGCTTACCAGCTTGCCTTGTCAGCTCAGTTATCAGGAACACATAATGTGTCTCATGTATCCATGTTATGGAAATGTGAACCAGATATGTCTTATGTTATCGATTGGAAGGATGTTCGAATTCAAGAAAAGGGAACGTACAAAGAACAACCTGTGCAAATTCTCGACACTAAGAAGCATGTATTACGTAACAAGGTCATACCACTTGTAAATATGCTATGACAACATCATGATATTGAAAGAGCCACGTGGGAACTGAAAACAGGTATGTGTACAAGATATCTTTAACTTTTTAGCTCTTAAGGTTAGTATCAAATTAACACGTTAATTAGGTCATCAATTATGATTCTATATAATTGAGATTTATTTTTTTAATATATATATATATATATATTTTCTTTTTATGAACAAATGGACCACAAATTTAAACTTTTCATGCGAAAACGAGTCAAATGACTATAATTTAGGTCAAATTTCGTAATAATATGAATATATCTATAAATATGTATATATGTCAAAGGACAAGTGTCCTCTTTTATAGCCTGCCTAGTTTAAAATGTGCAGAAAAAAAAATGGAAAGCAAATGGACAGATGTCCATGTGATGCAAGCAACTTGCATCATGGATGACGTAAGGGAAGCCAAGGCTTGGCTATAAATAACTTGCATTTGGGCCTTCAGGCAGCGCACCTAAGGAAGAAAGGAAGGGAAAGAGAGAGAGAGAAGAAAGAAAAAAAAGAGGTCAAAATCTTGTTGACCTAAGAGGTCGTTGTTGCAATTAAAAATTGTTGGGTAAGATTTTTAGTTATTATTTAGTAAATTTTATTGGTTTGAGTTTCTTAAAGTTGATCCTTATTAAATATTTTTGAATCAAATTTTAAGTACCATTAATTTTCGTTGGTTATTCTAAAGATTATTTTAGCTTAACTAAGCTATCATTACCTATTGTCATTCTAAAATATTATTTTGTCACAGTACATAGTATCAAGTACAGATACATCAGAGGTAGGGTTTCTTTTATCTTTTACTATCATTGATGCATTTCATACATATTTGGGGGTTTCATATCAAATCTATTTTTAATTATATAATGAAATATTATATCGCTATAATCATGGGGTCAAACTGAGATTTTATAAATAAATTGTGATTATGCACTTGTTATGTTTTTATTCATATCGAGATCGTAATTATCTAGTGAAACAATGTTGTATAATAAATGTTTTTATTTATGTATTATTTAATGTTTAATTTGTTGTTAGATCTGACTACGATATGACTTTATTTTGTAATTTTGATGAACGCACATAATCGAGGGCAGAGGGTTAGTAGATGCGTGATCTTTGCGAGAATTCACTATATTCCTACTAGTCCTTGGGCTCACTAGTTTGTAATATCGGTTGTCGTGGTTGCCTGTGTGGCACTACATAATTTTTGGTATTGGTGTTTGCAAAAAAGCAAGAAATAACATTGGGTTCCCCAGGGTGCAAGACCCCAAAGTTTTATCCGGAGGTGGTTCATGCGTGGAGCAGAAAATTAACGGATTGATATGACCAATATGTGCTGAAATTTATTTAATTCATTGTTTTGCCCTATTCCTGTATTTATCCGTTGTTTAATTATATTATGCATTGTTTTAAAACCTTGATAGTCATTGATAAACATTATCCTACTGAGCTGGTGAGCTCATCACTATCTAACATTTTTCAGATATATGAAGTCGAGGCCGGAGGATAGGCTGAATGGACAATGGATAGAGTTTGCTATTATTATTTTTCTTTATGTTGTATTAAAAATATTAGAAATGATCATGTGAGGATTATGTACTAGTATGTAAAATATAATAATACAAGGAAGGTTATCGTAAGTTCAGTGTGATTTTATTCTTTAATCACGCTCTGGTATTTTTTTTGAAAAAGGAAAAAAAAATTTGGGCCGTGACATATTGCATGCACGGGTCATCTTTTGATGAAATTAGAAATGTAGTAGGTGTTATTTATCCGACCTTTAGCCCTTTCTCATCAATTTGAGTAGCCAATTCAAGTAATGTATGAATTTTTTTTCCTTTGATTATTATATATTGTATATTAATTTTTTAACCAGATATGTATAAACTTAAACTTTGTCTGTTCACAATGGTCCACATGCAACGCATGTGTGCACCAACTAGTATATAAAATATCAAAAAAAGTGAAAAAATTTTGTTTGGCTGAAATAAACTTGATAATTTGAGTAATCTACATATTATCTTTTTGATTTAATGATGAGCACTAATATTATTGAAGGTTACTTGCACTATTGAGCTCCTGTCTATTAAGCTACTTTTGTATTTTCCATAATGCTACATAAGTTCTATAGGCCAAGCATAAGTTAAAGAAGTTCGTAGGTTATTCATAATGTTATATCTCCAATTCATCAAATCCAATTGTCATCTATGTCAAAAATTGATTCAAGGTCTTTGAACCTTTTTGCAATTATGGATTTTGTATTTAGTTCGAGTTTTATTGGAGAATGAATTTTTATGGTGCAAAGAACAAACAATCTTTATTTAAGGTACAAATTTTAATATGAAAATGGTATACGTGTAATGCACGTGTGCACCAATTAGTATTATAAAAATTACTAAATTATATACCTTTCACGATTTTGAAACATTAGAATAGAAGATAATATTTTTCTTATTTCCATGATAGATTTAGTAATACTAAAACACTGTTTGGTAATTTTTTTAAACAAACAAAATTCATCAATCATATTTTGCTAAAGTGAATAAATATGTTTAATACATGAATCATATTTTTTACGTGTGTATTATATACTTATATAATAAAGTCCAAGAAATTTTGAATTCTTCAACTTATAAATTGTTCGAACGTCCCAGATTAATTAGTAAATATTTACAGTGAATTTGATGGACAAAACTAAATCTTGAAAATATAATTTCTCACCCATAGATTTTTGGCCCCATCAAAATATTTTGACCCCTTAAATCACATGATTTTGGCTATTTCATATCTCCTATTATATATCTCATCTACGCCCTTCTATCTCTCTCTCTCTCTCCCTCATTGTATATGTGTAGTCACACGATCTCTATTCTATAAAATAAGTTTTGTGTTCTTTATCTTTTTTTTTAGTATTTAAAACATGTAACCAAAATTGGGCAGTTGGTGATGCCAATTTTGTGCCACTTAGATTCTTGGCTTAGAGTTTGTATATCTATATAATAAAATACCTAACAACTTGAATTTTATCTCTTATATATATTTTTCACTAAAAAATATCACATTATTGATTTCTATCACATGTTCAATCATTTAGTATTTGATTAATTTGTAGTTTAACATAGTTTTTATTTTAGACATTATTCATACACGATAGTATACTCATGTTGAAAAATTTTTGTCAGATTACGGATTTTGAGAAAATTGTTAATATTTTTAAGAAAATAATACGTAAAAATAAATTTTAAATGATGTAATCAAAGAAATGAAGGAAAGAAAAATTATTATTTAATATATTGAGATTGATTTTTAAGGCGTTTGAATTTTATATTTTATCGTGCATTCAAGCACAAGTTATGACTAGTTTACAAAAAGAGTGAGAGCAAAATTTAGGAATTAATTTGATCTTTGAATTTTGTTACATAATATTTTTAGGCACGAGTTCAATGTTAGTTATTATATATTTGATAAAGGATAGTGTACGAGAAGTGTAAGTTCATATCTGACAAAAAAAATAGGGTTATAAAGAAAATTTAAACTTGAGAACAATGTATAAATATTTATTACAACGGTGACATTATATCGTCATCATTAAGTGATACTTTTATAATATAACAAGTATATTAATAAATTCTACATATTTTAATAATCATCCATTCTATGTCATTTGATAACCACTTATATCAATACGTAAAGTCTGTTTTTATCATTTTTTAACATTTTTAATAATGTAACAGCACGCAACATTGTTGTGACATTGTTATATTAAATGCAATAGCGTTGTTATACAATTACCTCTTTACACCATTTTTGTATATTATTTTAATATAAATTATTAAATTAGTGAGTGTCATAAAATTTATTGAATATTCAGAGTAGAGGACATAATGTACATATCATTAGAGTATTAAATATTTACTACTAATTCTAACGTGGCCCACATACAGGTACTTTATGTAAGATCCTATCCGATGTTAAGCATACAAGTGCGTGTAAAGGTTACCGCCTCTCTCTCTCTAGATACTTGTCATATATGGCTTGAGCTTTTTCTTTTGGCAAAGTCTACAATACAGTCTCGGGTACCGTACCACCACATCCTATTTTTGTAGTAGAGTTATAATTTAAAAGAAAGACGTTCCAATTGATCACGAAAAATCTATGATCGATTAAAAAGACAATGATCAATCACAGATACATGTGATCAATCATGAATTTTTTTTGAATAATTATAACTTTTGTCTTATAAATTATAATTTAATCTTTAAAAATTGTAATTTTGTTATCAATTTTAATCTATCATGATCGATTATGACCTTAAAAGATATAACTTTTACTTCAAAAAAATTATAATTTAACCTTAAATAGTTGTAAATTTTGTACGGTAACCTTTTCTCTTTTTTTTTTTTATTTTTGGTAATTTATTTTCTGTTTTGAATATATTAGTGGGGTTTGGATAAGTCAGTTGCCTCAACACCGAAGCTTTCATTCATTGCTCTCCTATATATACTATACTACTGTCCTGTACCTCCGTATATGTCCACATATCTGTATCCATTTGTTTCTATATATCTGTCATCCTGAGAGAGAGAGAAGACCGAGAAATATGAGTGGTAACGGAGAAAATGGGAACTTACCCAAAAAAAAAAAAGGAGAAAATGGGTGTGGTGGTGTGGTTGATTTTTTTGTATTGCCGGAGGGATGCATCGCGAACGCACTGTCACTGATGAGTCCTCGAGACGTGTGCAGGCTCTCTCTGGTGGCTTCGATTTTCCGTTCGGCTGCTGAGTCGGACGCTGTTTGGGAGAGATTTCTGCCGTCCGATTACGAAGTTATCGTTGCTCGATCGGTCGACCGCTCTGCATTGACTTTTGAATCCAAGAAAGAGCTCTATCTCCACCTCTGCGATCACCCCGTTATCATTGAAGGGGGCACCAAGGTACTTTAGTTAAAACTGATTCTCATGTCAACAACTCTAGAAATAGTTAGAATCACAATGCTTTCAAAATTTTAATTCTCCTCGAGGGTTTTGGTTCCTGTCCAATTTGGACGTTTCCCCAATTTTTTTTTGGTAAATAAAATAATTTGATTGAAAAAAGATAAGCTCCATACAAGATAAAGGGGGAAATTGGAACAAAAACCCCTAAAAAAAATATAGATCAATCTATATGATTGATCAAAGACAATGGAAATATGCAAGCCCTGCATGTTCCCAGAATCATTCTATTTCTCAATTTGAGAAAACGCGTACTGAATGCAGTGGGGTGTATTGTACGGAACTGGACGCCGTACGGCGCGGCTCCTCTGCAGTTCCATAAGAACAGCACAGTTTGTTCTTAGTTTAAAATACTACCGTTTTAATAAGTTTTGGAGCTTAAAAATTTGGATAAATTACAATTTATACCTTTAAAGTACAAACTTAATTTTTTTTTGGTTCTTTAAGTTTCAATTGCAACAATTAAATCTTTAAATTTTTAATTGTATTTGAGTGTAGTTATTATATTAAAAAACTTTCATTTATTATGACAGAATAACCAACAATTATCTTGAATACAAGAATATATTTGTCTCGTAAAATTTTTTAACGTTTACCCCCGAAAATCTTACTTTATATCATATGATTTGAAGGAAAAAAAGATAATTAACTCATAAAAAAAAAGAAGATATTGAGTGAGAATTTGACAGAGGTACTGTGACGTTTCTTATGGGCAAATATATACTTATATAGAAAACTCTTCTAACTTCCTTTTGTCACAACAAATTAATAGATTTGAATTGAAGAATTAGGTTGAAACTCGGTTAAAACTTTACTGATGTAATTTTGGGGACTAAATAAAAATTATGTGCATAATTAAATGTATAAATTGTAAGAAATCCTCCCTGTTCTGTTTTCTTACCCAAAAACCTCTCTTCTGAACAAATTGTCTCTCTCTCCCTTGCACATATTTGCCCCTCCCTCTCATATTTGCACAAACTCTCTTCTTGTTTGGGATTATTTTTATGCTATTAGAACATGAGACTGGCAAAAAATATGCCATGAAACAGACCCATTTTATGATTTTCCTAGAAATTGTCTACGTTGAGAGTTGCCATTAAAGGATTTCATGCATGGGCAACTAGAGCTGCTGGGGCATTGAGGTCGAAGAAGCTTGTCTCCTTTACGTAATTGGTGCTTATTCTAAATCTCATGCTCCTACACACACAAACAGAGTAGAACCTAGAAACTTTGGATATGGAGGTTACAGAGAGGGAGAGAGAGGAAAAGAGCTATAGAAAGATTGTGTAGTGAGTGGGTAGGGGATGGTTTGAAGAAGGTGAACCCGGGAACCGCAATTTGGAGCTGTAATTGCATGTTGTTCTCCAACCCGCAATTGATCCATAGCATTTATCGATTGTGTATGTGTGGGTGTGTGTGTGTGTGTGAGTGAGAGAGAGAGAGAGAGAGAGGTCACGCCACAAACCCAAATGTATGGGTCTGGGTGCACGACCCCTTTGCTAACCAAATGCCGAAGGCATGCACGGCTATAATCTGTACATCGATCTTGATAATACCTAAGATATACCTAAGGTTGAGCTCGGTTTATCCAGCCCAACTCTCACAGGTCAGGAGCCCAGTCACATGAAGATTTTGACTTTAGACCTTGAGACCCTTGAATTTGCATCTCAAGAAAGGCGGTGTTAAAGATAGCTGATACCCACCAAGCACCCCCCGATAGCAACAGTCACTTATCTAGGCACGAGATTCGTAACCACCCCAATACCCTAGCCGCCGTTGCACAATTCAAGCAGCCCTTATGAGAAAAGGGAAAGGATCTCGTCGTAGATTTAGTTAGGCCCAGAATTAACTATACATAAGAGGTTAAAACTCTCAACCAGACAGATGAATGATAGTTTTACCAAAATACTGTGTAATTTTTTCCCTTGATAAATATATTCCTTAGGAGCAAAAGACTCCATTGAATAGTGGATTAGTCGAGGTCTCGAGCTGGTGAACCACTATAATTTTTCAATGTGATTGATTCCCTTCCAAAAATCTTATTCCTTAGAGCTTTGAAGCTTAAACTGAATTCCTCTGTTCACTTTACATCCTCCATTTTGTTCAATCGTGTTAAGAACATCATCAGATTTTAATTGTGCAACTAAAGCATTGGAAAATACAAATATAATAAATTAAGATAACTACTGAAAAATCCGCAAGCATACTAGTAATCCATGAATGTCTATAAATCACCAAACTTAAATAGCTAAGAGGTACGGATATGGACACGGGTATCGTATCCGATACGAGACGGACACGGGGATACAACAAAATTTTAAAATATAAGATATGGGTACGGCGAGGATACGACTAATTAAAATAATATAATATATTTTTATATATATAATAACATTAATAATAAAATTGTGGAACTAATTAATATTTTATAACTAGACAAATGAGTTAATATTAAATTTAATAAGTGGGCTAAATATTATGAACAGTAAATTAGGGGGGGCTAAACGTAATTGGCTGTGGGCTAGACTAATAAGAAGTAATTGATCGGGGGACACCAGACCACCATAATGAAGAGAGAGAGAGAAGAGAGAACGATGCTGCGAGTATCTAGGGCAAACCGATCACACCAATCGCACAGAGAGAGAGAGAAGGATGTTGCGAGCATCTAGAGCAAGCTGATCTATGAGAGATCTAATGGCATCAAGCCTCTAGAAGTCGCAGTTGCAGTCACAGGTCGCCAGGTCCAGATCTAGTCGCAGATGCACTCGCTGGTTAGTATCCCTTCCTCGTCCTTCTCCTTCTTCTTCTCCTCCTTTGGTCCTCTCTAACTCGTTCTCTTCTTCTCTTCTCTCTCTCTCTCGCTCTCGACCACACTGAATGTCGAAGCTTCACGTTCATAGATGCTTTTTTTCTTTTTTCTTTTTTTTTTTCAAGCCAAACGACGTAGCTTTGACTTCTTTTTTTTTGGTTTTGACCTCCTAAGTTTTTAAAATAACAAAAAGTACCCCGCCGTATCCGAACCATATCCGACTAAAAAAAATCAAAGCCACTGTTCAGGACACTTCTACAAGTGTCAGACACGCGTATCCGTGTCGAACACTGCCACGGCGACCCCCGACGAGTATCCGTGCTTCCTGGTTAAATAGTCTCCATTTCCAAAAGAATTTGCCAGACAATACGAAGAATGTTTCTTCTTGGTTAAACTCTAAAAGCATACTTGCTTAACAAATATAAAACTAGTTAGATCTACTTGGTCTCTTTCTTGGATACTCGTCAACTTCTGGATCTGAAAAATTTTAAGATTTGGATGAGATTGACAGCTGAACAAGTAACAAAATATCTCTACTCGTGTAAATATAATTAAAGAAAAACAAAACATTTCCAATAGTTCACAAGAATAATAATTATATCTCACAATATATCACGCCTCATTAATAAACAACTCAAACCATCCCTGTAGGGGCTACTAATATGTAGCCCCACCCTTCTTTCCCTCTTTAAGCACAAACATCCCCATCCAAAACAATTACCAGAATCTATTTTTTTGGGAATTATTCAGATAGAAATGGGGTCAAGATTCATAGCATTGTCCCAGCAAACATCACCCTCCATGGAATTTCAATGCACAAAGCCTCTATATTTGTAAGTGCAAGCCCACCCTACAGTAATTTTGTGTGTTATTGTTAATTAGAATTAAAAGGTTGCAATTTTTAAATCTTGAATTGGAAGGCCATGAAATTAAATTTGCTATTGCTGGTGATTTATACTGCTTGATGAAACATCAACTTGAACTTGTGTGCATGTTGTTGTACAATCCATTAATCTCAATACAATTCTTACTTTGTTTTGGTTCTAAGCAGAATAAAATTTTTTCATTCCTATAAAAATTTTCTTTTGTGAGTTTAGAGTGTGTCTAACTGCCTTATGTTTGATTGACTAGAGCTTTTCACTTCAGAAATGGAGTGGGAAGAGATGTTACATGTTAGCTCCACGGCATCTTTCAATTGTGTGGGGCAATACACCCAGGTATTGGCGATGGACTTCTCTTCCCGAGTCTAGGTATGGTATCCCACAAACTCTTCTTTTACTTATTTATCAGCTTATTTTTCAAATTAAATCCATCGACAAATTTGGCTATTCATAAACAGGTTTTCGGAGGTGGCTGAGCTTATTGTCGTCTGTTGGCTTGAAATTCGTGGCAAGATAAATACTTCCATGCTGTACCCTAATACAACCTATGCAGCTTACCTTGTGTTCAAGTTAACGGCAGGAGCCCATGGATTCGAATACCAACCAGTAGAGGTCTCGGTTGGAATTAATGGGGGCGGTGGTGAGACACGGACAGTTTATTTGGATCCTGATGGAGGGCGGAGGCAGATATATGAGATTATACCTAGGCGAATTGGATTATTCAACCATCAGCTGGCTAGTTTGTTGAGGCAGCTGGGTACTGTGCCTAGAGAGAACAGAGGCCAATATTCCAAGCTAAGAGGTGATGGGTGGATGGAAATTGAGCTGGGTCAATATGTCAACAACGGAGGACAAGATGGGGAGCTGGAGATGAGTTTGATGGAGGTGAAGGGCGGCAATGCGAAGGGCGGTCTCATTATTCAAGGGTTAGAGATCAGGCCTAAGGACGGTTAATGATCAAAATATTACGGAGTCTCAAATCTTTGTCAACGCCGAGAATTTTTTGTGTCCAGGTTTCAAATAGACATTTCTATTGCCATCTTCAATATCTTAATCATGACAATCAAATTGAGGCAGAGTTCAGATTAGATTCTTTGACAGTCGATTTGGTTTATCATGTAGTTTGCGTGCAAGAAAACATTGGACTGCGTATGGGCCTTGTTTTCTCTCTGCTAGTAGAATTGAGTTTGGCAATGAAGTTATTTCTGGCTTTCCCATATTTGCCGCCTCTTTTTTCGTCCATTCAATTGGAGAATATGTGACTGATGCGTCTGACAGTTCAAAGAATTATGTGATGTTATTGCAGTTGCTTTCATCAATTACAAATCCATGCTTCTTGTTTGTAATTGGGCTGTAGCTACCATGTGCTAATCTGGAAGTCATTTGTAATTGGCTGCGACTCTTCACACTTCGTTGCTGTTTAAAAGTGCCGCATTTCGAGTGGTTATCAACAAGGCTCTTCCGTGTACTAACGCGGTTTTTTATTTCTTAAAAAAGGAAGAACTTCATGCAATTCAGCCATAATTTTAAAATCCAGTCCAGACATCAACTCAGGAAGGGGATCGGGTTAATGGGTCATTGGTTCAACTGTTGGGTCATTAGTTAAATCGATCATATAATAAAAAAATAAAAAAAAATTTAAAATAGGCTAAAAAATCATAATAATTATGAAAATAACATACTTAATGTATATGAAATCAACAAAAATCTCAAAATCATCAAACACATTCTTTTATTTTATTTTTAAAAAAAAAATTTATTGAAAAGAAATCAAAGAATTATAAGAATCAAAAGGGAAATAATTCCCTAACAAACAGAGTCAAAATGATGGCTTTAATCCTTCAAAATATAACAAAAAAACAAGAATTCCATCAAAAAGCAGACCACTCCACATCCTTCGATGAGGCCCAATAGTCAATCAAATCCCAAGCAGGCATCAGCTTACCATAGCAACCAATCCAGCCCTTCTAGTGAGGCAAGGAGAAAAATCTCCACATTTTAAACTTGATTCCCTATCTTGGGATACTATGTGACTGTTTGATTGTTATTTGATATGTGTGTAGATGACAAATCGAGGAAGAGGATGCCGAGGCGGTGAGTGGAACAACAAACCATCACCGGCCTTTGACGAACAAGCCTTTGTGGAGGCTATTGGTGCGGCGGCTACTATGATTGCACAAGCTAGTGCTACAGTTGCTAATGTTACACAGACAGGTACTAATGTGGGCTAAGGATGTACAAGTAACCTCCAAAAGTTTAAGGCACATCAGCCTCCGATCTTAATGGAAGGGGCGGATCCTATGGTGGCTGAGCATTGGTTCCGACATGTGGTTAAGATCTTAAGGGTTATGGAGATCTCCTCCGATACCACAAAGATAACACTAGCTACTTTTCAGGTAGAGGGAGAATCCCAAGTGTGGTGGGATTGGGTCAAGACGTCGAAGAACTTGGAGCTAATGACATGGGCTGAGTTCAAGGAGCTTTTTCATGGGCAAATACTTTCCAGTGGCTGCTAGACATGCAAAGGCCTGAGAGTTCTTGGATTTGAGACAAGACACTATGAAGGTGATGGAGTACGTGGCTAAGTTCACCGAGTTAGCCCATTTCACCAATGATTACGTGGCCACAAACATGGCCAAGGTGAGGAAGTTCGAGGGTGGTCTGAAATTGTCCATCCTGGGTAAAATTGTGGGTCTTCTTCTGCAAGACTTTGATTCGATGCTCGCGACAGCTATGACCATTAAGAGAGAGGTAGAGGACGCACGAAGCATCCGGGAGTCGGGTGTTAAAGACAAGAAGAAGGAGGGTCAATCCTCTTCTTCTAGCTCAGGGAAGAGGCAGAGGACCTTTACTCCCTAGGGACAATAGGGGCAGGGTCGTGGTCATCAAGGCCAAGGCCAGGGTTGATCCTCTAAAGACGGGGGAAATTACAAGACTACTTATCAGGCAGCATGGAGGACATGTTTCCACTGCCACCAGCCTGGTCGCATGAAGTGGGATTGTCCCTAGAGGCAGGGATCCCAAGGCTATGACTTATCTCAATCACAGTCATCGGTGGGGCAGCCATAGACACTTTTCTCCTTACTACTGCACCATGGCCCAAGGGAGCCAGTATCAATTTCAGGGGGCTACACAAGGTCCTACTACTTCACGTGCGGGGACTCCACAAGCAGGCCAAATAGGTCAGGGCATGGGTCGAGGTCAAGGACAGGGCTCACAAGCCGGTACTTCAGGAACCTAAGGGCGTGTTTATGCAATGGTGCAACTGACTGAGCTGGTGGATCAATCGGTTATACAGGGTACATTTCTATTCTCTTGCTTATGGGCTAGAGTATTGTTTGATTCTGGTGCATCGTATTCATTTATTGTTGCATCTTGTGTGAAAGATTTAGGCTTAGAGGTTGAAACCTTGGAAGAGCCATTGCATGTAAGTTCTCCACTCAGAGCTAGGGTGAGAGTTGATTAGATATGTTGGGGTTGTGAGTTAGAAATCTTAGGGATTCTACTCACCGTGGACCTTAGGGCCATGAACATGTCAAAGTTCAATGTTATTCTCGGGATGGATTGGTTGACGGCACATCGAGTTGTCATTGATTGTGATCGAAAAAGGGTCATTGCTTATACTCCGGAGGGTATTTGTTTCAACTTCGAAGGGGAAAAGCAAGATGTCTCACCCAAGTCGTGTATGATTCTCGATGGCACGGGCAATTGATGGGTTAGCTTGCAAGCCTTACCTTGGAGGACGAGGCGAGACAGGAATTGAGTCTACCTTGGGTTGTATATGAGTATGAGGACGTTTTTCTAGATGAATTACTGAGATTACCTCCACATAAGGATGTAAACTTCACCATTGAGTTGCATCCGCGTACTTCGCCTATTTCTATGACTACACATAGAATGGTACCAGTTGAGCTGTAAGAACTTAAGGTCCAATTGCAAGAATTGTTGGACAGGGATTTTATTCTACCGAGCACTTCACCTTGGGGGACTCCGATATTGTTTGCCAAGAAGAAAGATAAAACTCTTTGGTTGTGTATCGACTATCAACAGTTGAATAGGGTTACTATCAAGGATAGGTACCCTTCGTCGAGGATTGATGACTTGTTTGATCAACTGAGAGGGGCGCGAGTCTATTCCAAGATAGATCTCCGCACCGATTACCATCAGTTAAGGGTTAGGGAGGAGGATATCTCTAAGACGATGTTTAGAACGCGGTATGGGCATTTTGAGTTCATAGTAATACCCTTTGGATTGACGAATGCCCTGGTGGCATTTATGGATCTCATGCGTAGGGTGTTTCAACCCTACCTTGATTAGTTTGTCGTAGTCTTTGTTGATGACATCTTGATCTACTCCAAGTCCGAGGAAGAGCATGAAGGTCACTTGAGGGTTGTTCTCCAGACCTTGAGAGATCATCAGTTGTATGCCAAGCTCAGCAAATGTGAATTTTGGCTTACTGAGGTGAAATTTTTGGGACACGTCGTGTCGGCTTCGGGTGTATCCATAGACCCAGAGAAAGTTGAGGCAATCATGAATTGGGAGAGACCCAAGTCAGTCTTTGAGATACGTAGTTTCTTACGATTGGTGGGGTATTACAGGAGATTCATCGAGGACTTCTCTCGACTTGTCGCACTTATGACTAGGTTGACGCAGAAAGAGGTCAAGTTTCAGTGGGATGATTCGTGCGAGAAGGCATTGCAGGAGTTAAAAGGAGGCTTACTTCAGCTCCTATTTTGATAGTTTTGGAGAGGGGACAGATGTACAACGTGTATTGTGATGCCTCCAAGGACGGACTTGGTTGTGTTTTGATGCAGTCTGGGAGGGTGGTGGCTTATGGTTCTCGGCAGTTAAAGAACCATGAGCGGAGTTATCCTACACACGACATGGAGTTGGCGGCTATTGTCTTTGCATTGAAGGCTTGGCACCACTATCTATATGGTGAGCGGTTCGAAGTGTTTTCGGGCCACAAGAATCTGAAGTATATCTTTACTCAGTGGGACCTCAATATGAGGTAACATAGGCGGATGGAGTATTTGGAGGATTATGATTTCACTTTGCACTACCATCTCGGTAAAGCAAATGTAGTGGCCGATGCATTCAGCCGAAAATCACGGGGAGTCTTAGCTGGTATGGCTTCTTGGGAGTGGCGGATGCTCGAGACTGTGGGACAGTTCGGGCTATGATACATGGGACAGGTTCAGGGTGTTTTGGGGAGTTTGGTAGCTACGCCTTCCCTATTGAGTAGAGTGATTGAGTCCCAGGGGAAGGATGCAGAGTTATCATCCATCAGGGATCGAGTACGGTTAGGTACAGGTGATGAGGGCTGGACCATTCACTCGGATGGTTGTCTTCGGTTTAGGGGAAGGATTGTGGTTCCCCAGTTTACGGAGTTGAGAGAGGAGATTCTTAGAGAGTTTCATTACTCTCGTTTTGCTGTGCATCCAGGTGGCACATAGATGTACCATGATCTTCATTGTCAGTATTATTGGAGCGGGATGAAGAGAGACGTTGAAGACTTTGTCAAACGATGTCTCACATGTCAGCAGGTTAAGGCTGAACATCAGAGGCCAGCAGGGTTACTTCAGTCCTTGGAGGTAGCCGAGTGGAAGTGGGAGCATGTCACGATGGATTTTGTGCCCTATTTGGCATGGACATCGCATGGACATGATGTAGTGTGGGTGATAGTGGACCGACTTACCAAGTCGGCGCACATTTTGGCTGTGCGGATGACCTTCACATTGGAGAAATTTTGTAGGTTGTACATATGGGAGATTATCTGGTTGCATGGGGTGCCATGTCCATAGTATCAGATCGGAATCCCAGGTTTACGGCTCACTTTTGGGAGAGTTTCTAGCAAGCAATGGGGATACAGTTGATGATGAACACTTCTTTTTATCCCCAGACGGACGGTCAATCGGAGAGGACTATCCAGACGTTAGAGGACATGCTACAGG